ATCCGACGAGTTTGAAAATCGTGCAGTGTGAACTCGGCATAACGCTCTCTCTCGGTATCGCGAGATTTCATAATCTTCCTCGCCGTGTGGGCGTTAACGCTGGAAGGTGTGCTTTATGGCGGTGGCTGTTTCAGCGGTAAATGTAATATTTTGTTTAACTTCTCTCTTAATATACATACAGCAATATTTCACGTGCATATAGTAATGTTTTCGGACAGAGGTTTCATTTAAAATGTTAGAAGAACAGGGGTATGGCTAACTACCCTAGCGCACCGAGAGTGGGATTTTCTTTCTGGCCTGCTGCTGCGTGTCTTTTCAAAATCACAGAGATTAAATCATGCTCGACTGACCAAGTCATTTCTAACTGTTAGGATTTGTTTATAATGGTTGTTTTTAACGGTGTATTACTACGTTTGTAACCCAAACGCCTGCGCTCACTCGCTTTCTTCATTCGTTACTTGAGCTAGCGTGTTCACATTGTGCACCATGAGCTGAACTAACTTCGCTGCTGCACGGCCCACAAGAAATTAAACTCTCCAGTTTAATGTGTTTACGGTGTTAAGATTTGTTTGCATTTACTATTCGCTTTTGAAAAAAAAGTGCATTGCAGTGGAACAATCTTTTTGAGTGTCGAATTGAGTATCTTTAGACCCAACATTACATAAGGCCTAATGGCCGGTGAGAACGTATGGGACACATTCATACTTCATTGAATGCTTTTTGACCTCATAGTCAGTGTGGTTAATTGATGTTAACATTAACTAGGTAATGTGTTTGTAGTAAATCAGAGCAGGACCACAAATGGTAAATTTAGAGTCCATCGTTCTCCTAACTAGTCTGTTTACACATCTCAAAACCCATGCTATTATAAGTAGGGTGAAAAACATTTAAGTTCACCCTTTTAACTTGGGAAATGGACGCAGTGTACATGAGTTTACTGAAACCTCTCTCTTTCCTTATAGACTGTATTGAACTGTAAAAGCTCCCCATATATAATCTCACAAGACACCCCAGCGGAGAGCAGGTGCTAGGTAAGGGGCCTATCCACTGCTCACCCTGAGACCACTCTTACGCTTTGATATGATAGGGGTTTGCAAAGAACTTTGAATGTGTCTGATTGCTTTTCAGTTATTGGAGTATTACACATATTTGATAAACAACAGGTTGCATCAGGCAACCTGTACTTCCTTTCTGTGTCGCTCAAGTGTCACCAGTGTATGTATAATAAAGTGTTACAGCTGTTAGGGAATGAAAAATTAAGTTTTATTTGCATAGTCATTACAACAAAAACATGTTTTTATTGTTGTTGGTCGTTATTTGTCATCCAGGCCAGTCATACCATACTGGTAGCTCAAGTACTGTAATTTTTGTATGAGTTTAAAGGGTTATTCACCCAAAAATAAAAATGTTTGCATTAATTTACTTGCACTCATGTCGTTCCAAACAAATAAGACTGTCGTTCATCTAAGGAACACAAATCAGAGCTAGTGGTTGGCCGATATATCATTTCACAATATTAAATAAAAACTGATGAAAATTTGCACTGTTTAGCGCACTAGTGTACTTTAATGTTTAATCAGGGAGTTTGCTTTTATTTTGTACAAAATGGCACAAAGTCACATTTGTGGTGTTCCCGGTCAAAAATGTCCAGCCATTCAAAGTGAATGGGAAAGAATGAAAGTAATAGAAACTATTAGTGTTCAGGAGCATGTTGATCATGTTCACGTTCACACATGTACGTGTGCTTGCAAACATAAAGGCCTTAGACCTGTTCATGTTTGGATGCATGCATACTCACGCTAACACCAGGGCTGCACGATAAATCGCATGCGATATTTAACGCGCATCTTGTCAGTAAAGCCGGTTCTTTAATCAGCGGTCAATTATATCGGCTTTATATTGGTCATTGGCCACCCTGCTTTCCAAGATATCGGCACCGGCTGTCAAAAAACACACATCGGTCGACCACTAGTCAGAGCTTTCTGACCCTGAAACGTTCAAAGCCCAGAAAGGTAATAAGGACATCGTTAAAATAGTCCATGTGACATCAGTGCTTCAACCATAATTTTATGAAACTACGAGAATACTTTTTGTGCACAAAGAAAACAGAAATAAGGACTGTATTGAACAATTTCTTCTGTTCCGTGTCAGTCTCTGCAGCACGTTCATGACAGTACCGTGATGTTTCAGTGACGTTGCTGTCTATGCAGGGTCAGGACTCAGAAAGCTCTGGAATTTAATAAAAAATACCTTAATTTGTGTTCCAAAGATGAATGAAGTTCTTACGGGTTTGGAATGACATGAGGGTAAGTAATTAATGACAACATTTTTATATTTGGGAGAACTATCCCTTTAAGCAATATGTACGTTCTTTGTGCTAATATTCACAAATTGGTCAAATTTTGTTGTCAGTCAAATTAAAGGAATAGTTCAGCTAAAATGAACTCATTTACTCATCCTGATGTTGTTCTAAACCTATATGACTTTATTTCGTGAAATGCAGTAGGAGAAATTTTCATGGTGGTTCTCGTTGCATATTTCCATACAAGACTCATTTTATGCTTTAAAAAGGATGTAAATATCATAAAAGCAGTAAGTGCATCTTATACTTTATATAAAGCTTCTGAAGCCAAACAAACCAAAATTTAAGCCATTATTCAGTGAAGGTCATCTGCCATTAGTCTAGAAAAATCATATGGGTTTGGAACAACACGATTAAAGCCCTGTTCACACCAGGGGTCCGTTCTTCATACCTCGCTAACTCGGTTAGCTGGATTTGATTGTTGACGATTTCGCTTGATTTTGGATTGGTTGGTTCTTCAAAGCTCATCCTGGAGTTGCTGTCATAGCAACTGGTCCATAAGCTTAAACCTGATCAAGAGCAGGCTTATTTCATGTAAACAGGATTAGATCGCATCTTTTTAAGCAGAATTGATACTTAAAATCTGTCCGCTACCACCGCTACTTTATTACAAGAGTACCCTACTAATCAAGGGACAGTAGTTTAATATAATAATAATTTAAAAAATATGAATTAAAAAATAATATAATCATGTTGTGTAGTCTATAATAGTATTGACACAGCCAGTTTTACTCATTGAAATATTTATTCATGATAAAATAATTACTTTATAATTGTCTTACACACATGCTATACAGTTAATCTGAGCCGTGCATTAATTTTAGTGGTGACATATGGGAGTGGCTTGATGGAGCGCAGGAGATGCCGATAACTTGATCTTGACCCTTAGGAACTAATTTATGCTGTCACATAACAAATCTGTTTCAAAAATAAAATTAAATGAATTGCTAATTACAACATTGAAATAAAAATATAAAGCCTGTACAAATACTAGAAATCGTGAATATAAATATTTTTTTAAATAAAATAAAAGCAGTGCACATTTCATTTATCTATTATACCATTTATGTAGTTTTGTTCGCTTCGCTGTTTCCTTACAAAAGTCCAAAAATTTGTCAAGTTTTTCGTCAGGTGTCTTTTTTAATTATATGATGTCATTACGTTGCTGTCTTGCCGCCAGCCAATCGCTGCATTGCTGATTGTGGTTTCGAGTATCGATCCATCTGCCCTTTTCGGGTAACACGAGAAAGCGCAGTAATCTTAGACAACTTAATCCAGATATTTTAATCAAATTCGTTTGAAGAACCAAATTAGCCAGATATCAGTTATCATGATTAGATTAAGACAATCAAGAATTGGCATCTTTCAAATCATCTCAGATCTATTAAGCAAGGTATGAAGAACGGGCCCCAGGAATGATAACTAAAACAATAACTATATAAGCATCCACACCTATGGACAATAATGTTTTGTTTAATTGTAAGCATGAATTTTGATTGGCTGTTAATGTTTTTATTGTTTGGTAAAAAAAAAAAAAAAGTTTTTTTCAATACTGTTTCTCATTTTTTTGTAGTTGTAGTGTGTCCCTGTTGTCATGCAATTAGAACAATTATTGAAGTTTTATAGTTATCATCCTTACTGTGAATGGGCCGTAAGTCACAATTTTCATTATTTGGGTGAACTGTCCCTTTAAGGATCATTGCCACAGAACTTGTGTACAAAATATATTGCCTTAAGGTTTGTCACCCAGGGCTTCATGTCCTAAACATTAGGGCTGCACGATTATGACAAAAATCATAATTGTCGATTATTCCTTTGAAATTGTAATTGCATTTATTAATTACGATGAAATTAATGATGTTTACACCTTTGTTTGAAGCAACTGCATGCCATATTTTTATATGAAAATAAACAAGCTGAAAACACTAACTGAAAAACATTTATTGCTTTTCTATAGTATTAAGCCTCAAATGTCAACTATACATTGGATTGGTTTCTTCTTTAAATAAAAAGGTAAAAATATGCATGGTATTA